AGGCATTTCAAAAAAATTTATTCATCTGTAAATCTGGGGGTAGGCGTTCAGTGTTCACATTGGCAATACACATCATAAAATAAATTTGATGATTACGAGCGGGAGTAATTACTAATTATTAGTGCAATGGTGCATMAAGTTACCACTATTGCACCAMTAACACTGTATAACAAAAGGATACAAATATTGAAACTGAACGTTTCAGGGATATAGATTCAGAAATGTGCGGAAGTCGATTCCTAGTATCAAAACTATTTTCAGATTTTTTTTGCTTTACTAAATTAAATGGCACCTACGTTAAAAATATTCAAATAGAACACTACTTGATTCCTATATGTGTTGCCCGTATGTTAAACGGTGATTGAACATTACCGCTTACAATGCCATTAGAATAATATCTATTATTACAGCTACAGCCATGCAGTGTATTTATCGGTATACAAGTTAAGGATAATTTGAACATTTTGAACCGAGTCCTGTTGAACACGAACCTTCATACAGTCTATACGACTATACTAATGATTGATTATTAAGTAGGTAATAAGATATTTACATGATCGCATTACATTGTTATAATTTTAATATACACAATTATAGGTACACCTACCAATGTCGCAGTATACATCGATATATTATTAATAACACATAATATGTGTAACAATGAATTTTTGTGCACGTATCTTATACAGCTGACAACTAGGTAATTATAAAAAGAATACCGTTTTACAGGAGATAAGAAACAATCAATCTAATAGATATATGTTTAGGATTTGTACAATTTTTAGTATTTCTCGAAGATAAAATGATATGGTATCATGTATTTTGTACTATTTATACTGGACAAAAATGGTTTATTGCACCATCATAAAAAAAACTGTATCTTGAATCATCTAGTAGATAATAATATGGCATCGTTGTTTAATATACAACATTTTGTGAGTCAATTAGTAAAATCCAATAATAATTCAAATATTAAACTGTTATCATATTAAGACGAGTACACGTATTATGTATATTTTATATATATACATATATATATATATGTATATGTAACCAGTAGATTATAATTTACTTGACTTAAATGAAAATATTATAATATTTAATTTGTATTGTTAGTTTTTATGTATGAAAGAAAAAATGAAAGTTATAAAGAAAAATTTGGTTTTGTAATTAAAAAAAATATGTTTTTTTTTAAACCAGTAATATTTCAGTTGTCTGATATGAATCAGTTAGCTTTGATATATCAAGAATAAAAAATAACATTCAAATGTTCATCATTTTAAAATTAAGTTTGACTAGAATTACAAAATAAAAAATCATAATCAGTCGTAATGGCGTGGAGGTTATACGTATTTTTTTTATTATTATTTAAAAGACAATTAACAATCTGTACAAGTATATAATACAATGAGCAAATATAAAAGTTTACAATGGCATGAATAACATGATTAGTGAATCACCCATTGATAACACCTCTTGTATGATGTTTATATCTGTAGTGGTTTTTGAATGAGACACATATATAATTTCTTATTTTTTTCGGCAATATTATCAACTATCGTGGATGCGCGAGTAAAAGACAAAATCGCTGTTATATATTATTATTATTATACGGACACAAACAAAATGTGAGTTATATAATCGTAAATATAAAATATTGCGAAATTTTTGCATGCATAATCATTATACGTACGAGAAAACTGCAAATTGTCTGCTATGTCATCCACGTTGAATTAGAGCACAGGTGCTTTTAGTTATTGTATGATATCTACGCACTGCATTAAAATTATTATCACATTGAAGAATCAAGTTAGAATTTAATGTACTTTTGGTTTAATTAAACGAACGAATCACGTTATATTTTTAAAAGAAATAAATGAGAGATTCGTAAAATGAATTATTATATTATTTTACCAAACACAAAATAATATACCTAATAAAATAATAATTATAATAATTCGGACTCCGCGAATATGTCGTACGTATCTATATATAGTTACGACGGCTAATTTAAATGCGAAAAATTGTTAAGTACACTCCTTTAAGTAGCTCACTTGAATGTGAGATAAAAATCCCAACCATATGAAAGATTAACTATTATTGTMATAAAATTGAAAAACGTGTTTATCCACACGACATGAGTCATTCATTATACTGCACTGCACGGTATGAAAATCACGGAAGGARAGCAATATTGTTGTAATATACCAAACACATACAATTTTTTTTACTTGTTTATAATAAGCGCGTAAACATTTTTTATTGTTATTGCTATTGTCATGTACTCGTGTACATAGTGCCTACATAAGTATCTTAGATACTGTATCTATATATATTGGCCAATTCACGCTTCTACTACTGCTATTAATTTTCTTTAAACAGGTATATAATAACTAAAATGTTTTTAGAAAAAAGTTTATGACAAACCAAAACATACCATTGCTCGATGAAAATGTATATTATTTATGTATTATAGAGAGAAAAACATAAAATATTTAAATGGTGTATTTCAATTTAAAAATCAAGGAACTTCAAAGGTCTAAATTACTAACTAGCAAATATTTTAAAATCAAAAAAGCTTTTTTTTTCAATTCCAAAACATTTTTGTTTGAACTATATAGATACAACATATTTGGCATATTGGCATGAGTATAAACAAGATAATTAACCAAACATGTTCTCTCCTTTTTTTCTTCAATAATGAAATTATTAAAAATCTATTTTCGAAATTGTTAATTAWAATTGAATGCCATGTTATCAAATTATTGAGATTTTTTGTAATGTACTTAAATAGTGTATAGAGAAAAACAAACTTTTATTTTTTAAGCGAGATATCTCCCCCTCTTAACCTATATATTATTTAATTGATAACTTATCAGAAGATTTTGCCATATGGAAGTCAAAATTGCCGTAGTTTCTAAGTTATTTAACATGTTAAGGATAATATATCAATAATAGTAATCCGTGATTAGGACTTAGGYGATTTAAAAATGTGAGTAAATATCAATTTACATCTGTAATTTGTAAAAATAATCCAAATATAATAACAAATAGATGAATAGAATACTAGGTCCAGTATTATATATTTCTTATACTTTTAAAACTAATAATATTTTTATACACATTTTAATGACTGAAAAAATACTTCTTTAAATTTTGAGTTAAGTTTAACAACTTTGTTTAAAAACATTATCCACTAAATATATAACTAACTTATACATAGTAAAAGAAGATGGAAGGGTTTCGTTTTGAAAATCAGAAGTTTTTTATCACATCAGGTCACTTTTWAAGTAGTATAGAAAATCTCCAGAATTTGAAGTAAAAGAATTTAAATTTGAAGAAATTCAGTATTAAATTATGATGATAAAAAAGGTGAGACTATGCTTGGTGAAAACCTTTTATATCAATAATTTATTTAACGTTATATTTGACTTAGTGTAAAGTCATTACTCATTAGGTAAATCTCGATGTAATGTCCATTGATCAACTTTGGATAACCACATGAGTTATTTTATTATTTACCTAACTTATATTATAATAGCTGCATATGTATATTGTATAATATCCATATTATTAAAGATAATATACTATTAAAAAATATGCAATTCGGTTGTAAGAATAATAATCGTTCTTAAATTAGTATAAGCACCACATATTAATATACTTCGCTACTTGTATGCTGTTTATATATACGGCTTACCAAAAGATTTATGTGAGCTGAGAACTGTACGTCTAGAAAAGTTAATAAAAACATTGCCACGTTAAGTCGGTACATAATATATGGTCGTTTATGTGCAGTGTACACATATAACTATATAATTATAAACGGATAAACGGAGCCATTATAAATAACGACAATAATAGTAATTCCATAAGTTAGAACTTTGCGAAAACAAATATGATATATATATATATAGTATATGTGTTACAGTTAAAACCCGAAAACCATCGAAACTAGTTTTAACTAGTAAGATGTACATGCAAAAAATCCTGAGAACAAACCGTTTTTTATGCAAAAAAAATAAAATACTTTGCAATTCTAAATGCCATGACAGCTATAGTTTGTCATGTCAAAATAAATGATATAATAAATTTWTATATGAAGTAAAATAAATATTTATTTATGCCATTCAAAATGCTAAAAACCTAAGAAGTGTGATAACGATAAAAAATTGTAAAAATGGGAAAAAAAATACGTTCTCGTTTTCTGAAGTAACAAGTTTTTTAAATGATATGAAACACATTCATATTTTAATAATACCTATATACCTATTTATTATGGTATCATCATTGAAGCAACGGAAAAATGATTTTTCACGTATTCGCGTTATAAATCTGGAAAATGCACTTTATAGGATGTTAKTAGATACCCATCTATTTTATTACGGTCAAAAATTGATTATATAGGGTGTATTCTGTTTTAGTCATGGCTTTCGTTAAATGTGTGTATGTGTTGAATGTGTGTACAACCAAGAGAAAATACCCATACCTATTAGTATTGTTTATATATATTTTTTAAAATAATATGTCGGTTTGTAGGTCAACCACAGCATAACTAAATAATATTGTGTAATTGCACAAACCAAATTGTAGATTAGAAAATTTCTCAAACGATGATCGCATTTTATGATCATACAAATTATGTTAAATATCTACGGACTACGGAGCAACGTTCAAAAACCTAAATGAACAAGTGATCATCATAAGAGGACACAAATTGTACATTTTAAATAAACCGTTTAACCCTGTTATATTTCATATTAGAGTGAATTTACCTATAAGAAAATTTAAAATTAATAAAATTATAAAGTGAATTTTATCGGGGTTTTTAAATATTATTTTTTTTCAAGTACAAATTAATTTACAATTTTTTAAATACTCGCGACGGGCATATAGTGCTATTAGCAAACCCTTAACCCTTAAGACGTATTTGGTGTTAAATATATTTGCTACATAATTTTTCCCGTACAAATCGAGAACAACAAATTTGCTATACATACTCATTGGCCTTTGTTGCAAGTCTGGCACTTGTTCTGTCACAAAATCAAAATCCGTCCGTGAAAATCCACTGAAGCGGTGTCCGATAAAATCTTATAACGCACCTGTAACACATACAATAACACACGATATTAGTTCAATTATTTATTATGACCGATTAAACGAGCACATTTATGATATTTCAGCATTTATGGTTTGATATTATTGCTGATTATATTTCATATAGGAGTGATGCTTCAATATGCATAATGATCGTAATCGTAAACCTAATTTAAAAAATTAACACCATGGAAGACTACACTTGCAGTGATATTTTAAAATCTGAGATATGAATAACTTATAAAATAAATACTTTTTATTATAATAYATAATATACGTATAGTACCTATATAAAAAACACGTGTTTTTAATGTTCTATAGATCTTTAGCATAAGTTAAACATTAATTTTTTTCACATACCGAGTACTCCGATCACAATTCAAATCACACATTTTTCCGCTTTGTAGACGAATTATATAGACATAAATTTTTCAGACGCAAGAGTTCTAGACCTAATCTAATAACTTTAGTTGTTTACCGTAACAGTATTAGATAAATATAGATGATTTAATCAGGTACTTATAGTGTTTAGTGTTAAAAGTTATGAATCATAAACATTTAAAACACTTTAGGTAATATTGTACCAGTAATAAGGATATATTAGTTGTATTATAAATCAACTATAATAAACGAGAAAGTTATCTTTGAAATATTATCTATTGGCTGGAGGGGGGAGTGTATTAACCCGCTATACTTATAAAAATATCAAAAATCATCTTTTCATCATGTTTCCTATGTGTTCACGTATATATATATGGATGTAGCGAATAGTGAACTATCTAGTACTTAAATCTTACATATATAGTATGATAATATTGTATTATTACAAACGAAGAAACCAGATTTTATTTTTATTTCGTAATTATTATCGTACACAAAATGACCTTGTGCAAATTTCTAACTGTATCGGTAACAAACAATTTTAATACAAAACAGTGTTATTAACTTACTATACACTTTACGCTTAAAAGTATGTGTCTTTAAAGAATTAATTTTTAGTATAATTGCTTATCATTATAATTGAATTTATAAGTGTACAAAACAATATGTGTTATTGCTTGTTAAACAAATCGAGTTAAATCGACAAAACACATTTTTGTTTTGACATTATAATTTCATATTTTATAGATAACTGTGTATGTCTTTCGGTGCATCAAACACTATCTTGAATGTATACAATTGGTATATCATTATCAGCTCAAAATGTATTGACGGACTTCTATGTGGAATATTAAGTTACCGTAAGTTAAGCCTCTGGCGTAGTGAATAACCTAATACTTTGAACACTATTGACATATTTTATCAAATTCTAAAGAGCATTAAATTTTTTTTTTATATACCTACGTGATAAGTATTTGTTGCTATTCACGTTCATATATTTATATAATTTAAATAAAATCATGAAGAGTGCACTTAGTTATACATTTTATATAAATGAAAATCTAAAAAAAGACAAATTCGAGGATGACGTTCCAAATGTATAAAATATCATTCGTAGATGCGACCGAAAACACGGTCAAAAACTTTAAACTACTGTCACAGGATGTTTATCCGCCTTCATACAACACGAGAATCGGACAATTACGTTGAAACACGACTGTATTAAATATACTTGTTATTGTGATAATAAATATAGGTATCTTGCACATGCTGCATACCACCTCCGAGTAAACGTTATTAGAAGTTCTTCATACTTACCAACACCGTTCACCGGCAACTCGAAATATACTTATACGTACCTACGTATTAWATGTTTTTTCGCCCATTATTTACATACGTGGTGCACTCGATTATCGTTTTGTTWCTTGGACGACGAATAAACGCGTGTATAATAGTAAACGGTTATTATAATGCACYAATAACGTATGCAGTGTGCACCMTTTGAACATCATCACGATATACCTAAATAATTATAATAGCTTCGTTATAACCAGAGATTGAGAGAGCTTATGTAATATGCTGAACTACTAATTAGTAAATTAGCTGTATTGTTTTCTAACCTACATAGTACCTATGCACCTGAAGAGAACAACTCTACGTGGCCATATTATGTTAAACATAAAATATTATAGGACTGATGTGAATTGAGTGTAAACATAAGTTGAACTATATGTATAAATTGCAAACATTAGGCAATTTTATATTTTGAATCACTACTGCATTTATTAAAATTATCTTTAAAGATAATAATTAACCACGGATTTTGTGATAAAAAATTACGCATCCCCCCCCCCTTAGACAAGGTTTAAGGTTTCGGATAAGGACCCTCTTCTGTATATAAAAACTCCGTTTCTTCCGGTATATTAATTCATATAATACATGCATTTAATAATTTCGTATTCGTCYGCATATAGGCATACAAATTACAATAATATCTAATGTGACACGGTGGACCCTTCGAAAAATTAAAAAGAATACAACGCTGTGGCAAGTTGTTTTCCTTATTATTTACAATTTCATTGTATAACGCACGACGAGATAATATGATACGTCTGTTATTTTATTACAAAGGATAAGATTGTACGGATGGTTTGAGTGAGCATATATTATAGTAAGTTGTAGGTACTCCGTATAATATATACCTACTGCACAAATATATAATAGGTAAGGTGTACTTGTGTAACCGGGAAGCGACCTTTAATATTATTATTATTATATGTTGTTTTGGTGTTGGGGAAGATTTTTTTTGTGCGACATTGATATTTACCTGTTGAGGGGTCGAAATAAAATACTTACGACCCTCACCCTATATAATATTGTACTATGCRCGTACAATAATATAATATATAGAACACTCTTGAAATCGTCTTATAAAGAGGCTGTCGGCGGTGAACAATTGAACTTCGATTGTGTTTAATAATTATATTATGATAACATGTGGCTCGACTATAAGCGATCGTGTAGTTATAATAATCACGTCCTGGRGTAAATATACCATGTATAGGGGTGYAGCGGAGCTTGAGATAGTATCTATATATTTTCTTTAATTTTTTCGTTAAGTAAACTATCTATCCCTTCACACCAYCTTAAAATATATTTTATACATTTACTGTATATCATTTTTTAGAACTCAAAACGAAATGAAGTAATTGATTTACATAAAATCCTATGATATATTATGACTTATTGGTTATTATATAGAAGTGCACATATTTTGTGTGCCTTCTTACAATCTTACATGCACCATTACACTACTCTTGAACGCCATGCATTTGCAGGTTTAATGTGAAAAAGATATAATATTTATATAGTTTACTATAATATTTATGATGTTTTAATGCAAACGTAAATCGTCGCATAAAGTGAACATCTAAAAACTTAATTTTAACCTAATAAGTAATAATATATATATTATTTTCTGAATATTATGTAGGTACTAACTACAATAACGTATAATATAATAACAGGTTTTTCTATCCCGTTACATTTTGGTTGGTATGATAAATATAATATTTTGTAAAACGGTAAAAATAATTCTGGGATGACAAAATTTTAGTGATAAATAAAACCATAATTTGAAGACCTCAAACGATTAGTGAGGTCTTTGATTTCAACAAATTTATAAAAAAAACCATAAACATTTTTCATAGATTTTATAGCTATACCACGCAAAAAGTTTTAAAATATTGAAAAATGAATTATTTATATTGGTTTCCATAGTCGAAATTATGTTGGTTAATACACATACAAAAATATATTTTAAAATGTTAAGACATTTTTCAACAACTTATGTGTTATGAATTATTATTAGACAAAAGATCAATTGCTAATTGTATTATTAAAAACAAAAACAAAAATTATTTAATTTTTCTTGTAATACCCCATTAAAAAAAAAGAAAAAATTTTACCATCATTTTGCAAGAACATTATTAGTGGCAATTGAAATTATAAGATGAAATTAGTCTGAATTTCTATGTACGTGTGTATTACTTTATTAAATGATTTGTAGATTTTTTCATTTTGAAGAACTTAAAACGTGTTCATCTTTTCAAATTCTTGAATATATTTTAAGGTAAATGCATATTTTAAAATATTTTACCAATATATATTTTGTATTTTTGTATTTACCAATGAATAGACATATTGATAATAATCATTATTCTGTTCAAATCCGATCTTTTATAAATCGTAATAAAGGATGTGATATAAGATAAAGTAGATAGCGAATTTTGAAATCACCATAATATCGACTTGCAGTCTATTACTCTATATAGTAGTGTCTATAGTTCTTCTCGTTCGTTGGTACTAATTTAGTACTTGTATTGCTATTACCTATCTACCTACTTATATAATTAAAGTTTTAAAAATTAATGTTAAATATAAAATATTATGTTGAATAATTCATGTTTTTAATAAAGTGGCAAAAATAACATCATAAATATGTATATCAATACATACATAATATTTACATATTTTGAATT